ATATCTGAACAACAGCTCTGAATATCGTCCTGAGTTTTACTTGATTTACACCCGATTCATTATTGCCAACGTCACAGACTAATATAGAGATGTCACTTGCCGATCAGCTGTTCACCTCAGTAGGCGTCAAAACGTAATGGATACTCGTGTAAATAGGGATTATATTGTGGCACAGTGCAGTGAAGGAGCGGATCCAGGACACATTTGGATGGAGGACAAGGCAAATTAAATGAAAGCCAACTATTGCAAATTGAAGAGCGGGGGGATTAGCGATTATGTGCTTTTTGTGACAATATTGAAGAGCAGGGGGAAGGGGAATGATGGCTTTATTAGTGCTTCTGAGAGAAATGCCCTCGTGACAAAGGATTTTATAATTTCTTGCATATTTTTCTTTTTTATTCATAGCATAGATTCTGTAATCCATTTGGATAAGGCATTTACAAGCCTTCGGACCCCTCAAAAAATAAAGACGGTCCAGCTGCTGCTATCATGGTTTCCTGGCTCATGTGTGAGAAGAGACAATATAGAAAAAAGCTAATTTCACTGTGTTTTTGGGAGCAAGTAGTAATCCATATTTATCTGTCAATATACTATCTCCATGACAAATATTGATATAAGAAAGTGGACAGAAATATCATTCATTTGGTTCTCAAGCATATGTTCAGCTAAGTGTTTTTCTTTTGGACTCTCCGTTATTCACAAATAACAGCCAGTACAGGAACAGTTTATGTCTAACAAATAGTGCATAGGAAGTTAATGAAGAAATTTGGAATGGTGAAACTAAATGCCAAGGCAATTTTCGATACGTTCGATTGAATAAGTTGATAGGTCCAGTTCTATGCAACTTGAGTATATAGCAATACTTCTATGACCACACACCGAAACAAATGATACCTTTGACGGAACGGTAGGTTTACAATTTCATTCAAGTATGAAGTAGACAAGTACAATTAGTCTAAGAGCTTGTGTGTATCTACATCAGTCTATTTTAACAACGTCCGAAACTGAATTTGGAATAACTCTGACTTCTAAGTTATAGTGCGCGTTACGATGTACGCAAGCAACTCAAAAGGTGAGTTAAATAAAAAGTAAGGGCATATACAGGGTGTCCGCAAAGTTGGGGTTTTCCTTTACACGACGTGTAGATCTTGAAAACATAAGCAATTTTTCTTAGTACCATATACACCAATATCTTAAGGGCTCTGCAACATCAAAAATATCTGAATACCGTAATGTAGCCGCGACCCGCTACATCACCGAGTGGTACAAGGTCACTGGCTCAACCCGACGACAGAACTGGCTCGGGGTCAGTGTGTCAGGTCAGTATGCAACCTTCAACCGACGGCTACGGTCACGCGTGTAGAGGTAAACAAACCCGTATAATCGATTGCGTTTCAAAAAAAAAATAATAATGGCACACTCATACACCAATAATGAACTCGTTGATATGTTGTTAATTATGGCGAATGTCTTCAAAATGCTACAGAGGCTTCGCGAGTGTATGCAGATCGTTTCCCTAGACGACATCATCCAAGGCCCCGCAGATTTGTGTACCTGGTCCAGAGAGTCAGGGATACGGGCCATTTGGAGGAATTTCGAGGTGGGCACAGTGGGAGGCCTAGACAACCACGAATGATCAAGTTGAGGAAGAACTACTGAATCGCGTAGACGAGAATCCCTCAACAAGCACTAGAGACGTGACTAGGGCAGTGCAAGTATCAAAAACTAAAGTGTGGCAAACGCTGCGTGAAGAGGGGCTGTATCCGTTTCACGTCCAACGTGTACAAGCCCTTCAACCTGACGATTCTCCAGCATGAGTGCGGTGTTGTGAGTGGTTGTTGCATCAACATGACAATAATCCGGACTTTTTGAAGTGCATATTGGTGACAGACGAATCTACGTTCACGCGTAATGGGGTGAATAACTTTCGCAACACTCATGTTTGGTCAGTAGAAAATCCGCACGCTGTCCGTCGCACATTTTCAACGGTGAATGTTTGGGCTGGCATGGTGAACGGTATGCTCATTGGACCATTTATTCTCCCAAATCGATTGGACGGGATGCAATACCTAGACTTTTTACGCAACATTTTGCTATCCTTGTTAGAAGATGTGCCATTAAGTGTAAGACAATAAATGTGGTTTCTGCACGATGGTGCATCACCCCATTTTAGACGCGAAGTGCGTGAGTTTTTGAATCAACTATTTCCGAATAGGTGGATCGGACGTAATGGACCCGTAGCGTGGCCTCCGCGATCTCCAGACTTAACACCATGTGGTTTTTTTCTTTGGGGAGAAATGAAACGCTTAGTGTACAAAGCTGAATTGCATACGGTTGACGAACTTCGGCTCAGAATTGAACAAGCTGGTGCTTTCATTCGGGGGAGGGACTCCATTATCAAAGCCTGCACCGATGCTTGGCTACGTCGTGCACGCACCTGTGTTTTTGAATCAAACGGCGATAACTTCGAACAATACCTATAAAGTACGTTTACCTAAAAACTGAAAACGCGGCAACGCCGTCATATTTGTTACCTCTGTTCGTGGTCTGCACCACCGCCTGCGTCTGCTCGGTAGCGCATCAGCTGATTTCATTTTCTGTTGGAGCGGTATGATTTCGGGCAGAGACGTACTTAGCCCTTCTCGTCAACTGGAGAGTGAGTACTTTTTCCTTTATTTTTTTTACTTGGTCGCCCTCGTTTCACTACACATTACCTTTGTTATTTCAAGGGTAGTTGTTTCTGAAAACGACAACCCCAACTTTGCGGATGTACGCATTTCGGTTGTAAAAATTATTGGTCATTTGAAATGATTCGTAGTCAAGGAAATATTTGTTGTCATTTAATGATGTCTATCTAGTTCATACCCCAATCAAACACGTTTGATAGGACATAACTTTTAGCAGCGCTTCAAAGGAAGTCCAACCTTTCTTGGATTGATGGCGGCTTAGTGGTAATGAACAATGGTGTATATCTCAAAACTATTTTAATTGTAAATAGCATGAAAACCGGGCGATGTGTCGAACTGAGGGTTAAACTAGTGCATCACTGTTTGGAAAATCCTACCTGATTACATTTCATATTAGACAACGCTCTTTGGAAGTGATTTTATTTATTCGGATATCGGTAAATTACTTTTATTTGCTCTGTGTTACCTATAACCTCATTTTGTACTTATCAGCTTTGAAGTTATCAGTACTAATTAATGAAAAATGGGAGAAATACCATATGCTGTAAATTTGGAATATGGGAATACAATGTTATTGGCGTGATGTCACCATTTCAACTTGGGACCACCCGAACCTTTATTGATTGGTCATTTCGATTTAAAATGACAGGTCTTTGTTCTCACTCTCACTGACTGTCAAGCTACATAATACAGTGGAAATAAATCAATCAAGGCATAATCATAAAAATGTTGGCCCCAATGCTATGAAAATATCTTCTTCAAATGGCAAGCTGAAAGAAAGATACATAAGTCAAATAAAAACTAATTATATTTGGGAAAATGGTTGTTTTGTGATCTGTACTCAGCTTAAAATGACTTTCACAACAATATCAATTACTTTTGGACCTCTATTATGCTTTTTTATAATTTTACACCATCTTTCTATCATACTAGCACCAAGAAACTTTATTTCGTACTTTCCGTACCATATTTTGCACATGGGTGCAGTACAATACTTATAATGTGAGAATATAAAATCGAACATTGAGCAACTCAATCAAATTAACCAAATAAACAATTAAATGACGTTTCGATGATTATAACGTTATTGCCAGGTGCGCCAAGATATGCGGCGTTTGAATCAACGTCATTAGCATTGTAATTTTAAACTATTAATTAAAAGTAAGTACAGGCATTGCCATGAATGAAGTACATCTTTACGGTATTGTATTAACGTAAATAATTGGCAATCATCTCAGACAGCAGCGGTGGCGTAGTGATAGACGTCATGGGTCTACTAATCAGTCACTGTGTGCTGCGCGGGTACGAATCCCGTCCCAAGAGAAATTTTTCTGACTGTCGAAGGTGGAGGTACCACCCGGCGGATCTCTAAGGCGGGGCCAGAATGTGTGCATGTTCCCTCGGTAGAGTTCGTGTGACATCCCCCTATAGCCAGACCCATGTGTGTATTTAGGACCTACGCCTTAGTGGTTTTTCAAGTATAAAAAAATCCAAAAAAAAGTATGCACATTCAATAATAATGAGAGACCGAGATACCGATTAATGCGCTAAATATTGGGAGACACCAAATTTAATTTTTAGGAAATAGCGTTTGAACAGTGTAAAACTCAACTTATGATTAAAGATAATATACAAGGAACACCTCGGGCAAAACGGTTGTCATGCTCGACAAACATTAGACACCGTACCGGTTTCTCATTTGAAAACTTTGTAAGAAAAGCTGAAGACAGTGCAGAGTTTGCTACAGTGGTCGCTAACTTTCAATAGTAGAGAGAAACAGAAATCTAAGATCTTCCTTCCTCTTTGGACTTACGCTCTGACTCTCAAAAGGACTCTTTCAGAGGCACCTTTGGGTAATCGTAGGGCGAGAATTGAAATAAGGAGACACTTTCAAAATAACGGGATGCTAAGGTCGAAATTCAGATTTTTCTTTCTAATATGATTTTGTCTGTCTGCAAGGCTACAGACCATAATACAGTTTTCTTTCCTCCAGCTCTTGGCCTACAAAGGTCTGCCCATCCGCGGCAACCGTGTCATTGATCCAGTCAGTAAACTCTTTCAAGGTTCTCCGACAAACTGGATGTTATTGTGTAGAAATGTCTCGCAGACTGTCTCACAAGCGCACCCTGCGTTTTATTCAAATCTGCACGATTATACTCTGGATGACTGGACAGAACATATCCTTTATCATGTCAACTTTTGTGCTGGTATATCAAACACCTGGAGCACAGCCACTCAATAAAACCTTCAATACAATAAATTACAGAGTTACTTCGAACAAAAAAAAATTAATATACGTTTCAAAGGCCTTACTTTGTCTTCTATCATATCAGTATGGATCTTTTGTACGTTGACGACTGAAATTCAGAAAAAAATTAAAGGTAAGTGTATATACTTGAAAGAGGTGCCAGAAAAGGACATACATCTATAGTGCAAGTAAAGAAATACAGTTACATATCGTTGTAAAGAATTCATTTTCAACGAAGGAATGATATACTACAGAGATTCAGAAGTTCCATTCTGGACATTTATGTTGTTGCTAAAAAAAATACCATTTTTGTAGATCCCAGCTGGGCTACGTAACATACGTTGAACTTAAGTAACCTCAATAGACGACAACATTTTTATGCATCAGTGAGTATTAGGCGTGTTTTGGCATTCGAATTTTTGACGGTTGTGAACATTTCAGCGACGTCTAGTCAACTGAATTTGACGGTACTTCCTGGTACCGCCTACCAGATAGTACTGTTGCTTTTTCATTTTATTTTACGATGCAATTACTTTTTTTCGGAATAAGATGCTTTAAAAAAACATACAACTAAAAAAAATATATGGTAGGAACGACTGAATTATAGATTTTTCACCTATATGTTGCCGTTATATTGTACATTGCTGAACAATAGACAAATCCGACAAAGAAAGACTACTTAGAAGACCTACTTGGTATGTGCTGCTTGTAACGTTCCAAATAACGCTTCTGCATGCTAGTGTCTTTGTGTCAATATATTCCCACTAGCCACATGTCTAACAACTGTACTCGTAACGTGTTATTAATTGTAATCTGTTAAAATTCGTCGCTTGCTTTGCCACATGGTGTGTGGTGATTTAGTAACTGAAGAAGCTGCCGTTCAGTGGATATTTTATTATTTTATTAGACTTGATGAGGTACTATAATTATTGTATAGCCGTTAATTGCAGTTTTTCAACGTAGTATTAGCAATTTTAAATATCTAGCAATTCTGTTTCAAGAGAGAAAACGGGGTCAGTGTTTTTCTGCGCGTATTTTGTTCAACGGAAAAGGTTCTTGGCGCCTTTACTTTCTATAAATATGAGTATATTTTGAAATATATTTATTCTTCTATGATCTTCTTCTAGAGGAGACTTGAGCTAGTTGTTTCATAAGGGTGACGATGTTTATACAGATGCAAGGAAAAGAAGTAATGTCTCTCCATTTGTTTGTTTTTATATGTTTTTAGCAGCGATTTTCTTTCTGACGAGAGACCTGGAACGTATCACTGGTTGGGGGCTCATCAATCTGGTACTGTTTAATGCTTCCAAAAAACAGTACTAAACCTTGACTAATAAGACGCACCCTGGCGCTCATCTGGTTTCAATGGATCGCCAAGTTCTGCCAAAGAATAATTCGTTCCAGTTGGTCAGATTCAAGATCACCGATGACTTCATACACCATGGACAAAGACATCAATCGCAATAGCTGCTGATAAAAAGCTAAAATGCTTGCTTAGGGCTTAGGGCAATCTTGCTCTCTTCTACCGTTGCCTGTTCTGCCTCCCACCTCAACTCCGCCGTACTTCGCACATCGAGGGCTGACTGGTACGACCGCTCCTTCGTTACTAGGCTGTCGAGTTTGTGGAACAGTTTGGCTAAGGAGGTTTTCCCAATTCTGCTAACCTTAGACAGTTCGGAAAATCGGATTAACAAGGCGTCTTTAAGTTTCCTAACAGTCACGGTGCCCTGGTATTTAGGCTTATGCATACGCGACTGCTTCAATATATAAAAAAAACCCGACGGGTGGTGCTACAAGTTTAAAATCGACTTAGCGGCCCAACATTTATGAGAGGTACACTTGGGGGTGAGCAACACAAAGTAAGCGAATATGTATGAGTGTGGTATCAGATGAAAGGTATTTGTCGATTATTGAATCGGCATTTTAAAGTTAAGTCAATTGAACATTCAGCTAAGCAACACGAAGTGAGCGCATAGGCCTAAATTAATTTAATCAAATCCTTAAAGAGTATGTCTCAATTCTCTGTATGATTTTTCTGTATGATATTTAACTCACGATGCAAAATCCACTCCTCTATACGAGTATATGAACCGATGATATGTACATTTTGTTTTTATTCAAAGGTCCTGTACTACTTTATATTTCCTATTTTGGGTAGGTACTACTATTTCGTCTGTATCGAGATGCGTATTTAATCCATCTCTGTTAATAAAATGCATTTACACTTGATAGTTCGAGGTTTTTTCAATTTGTCTAGCAAATCACTTGTTAAAACTGCGATATTGACAGGAATGAATACCTAAAGTGAAGGATATTTGTTCAGGCAGCAGCGGTGGCCGCAGTAGTAGACTCTTCGGTCTCCTGATCAGTCGCCGTGCGCTGTGCGGGTTCGAGTCCCGTCCCAGGAGAAATTTTTCTCTTGGCTATGGATGTTGTGATTGTCCGTATGTGGCAGACGGTCTCTGACTGTCGAACGTGGAGGTACCACCCGGCGGATCTCGTAGGCGGAGCCAGAATGTGTGCATGCCTGAGTCCGTGTGGCGTTCCCCCTTTCCCCTGTAACCCCTATAGCCCCACGGTACCCAATGGGTGTTTAGGCCTTAGGAGTTCGTGGTAGTTGGAGTATATAAGAAAAAAGTTCATATACCTACTCCGTAAGTAAGGATAGCATTTTTCAGTTACATTGTAGGTGTTTCTGCTTCCAAAAATTACATAACTACGCAATTCTGAACAAGAAGAACAATTTATTTTAAAACAAAGTGCAGGTGAAGTCATACAAAAAGCTGTTATTGCAGGTTTAGGAAGAATTAACGTTGTGCACGAAAATGCTACACAGTCTTGTTGAGAGTAACGAGAAAAAATCTAATTGCTTTCTTGATTGATTTAAAATTGGAACGTCAGGAAGCTATGTACTTGTAAGCTGCGTCGTACGCTTTGAAAGAAAATTAATAAGAACTGATGTCCAACATTTTTTTATAGTCTGTACGTGATCGAGATGCTTTTCTGTCCTCGCATGGAACAGGCACCTATCGCTTAACCACCAAAGGTTAATATTATAACAAGTTAAATGGGGCAAAGATGATTTGGCAGACAGATCGTAGTCAGGGTAAGGGTCAAATCTGAAAAATAATCTTATCCACCAGGTTTTCCTTCTTTTAAAGTGAACTACTCGAAACTAATTTTGCTTCTTAGATTTGACTGAAAGTTTGCAAAAAATGGATTATTACACTATTACTTGAGTTTTCTGTAAGCTGGATGTATTCATATTTCCATATTTTTGCAAAAGCAGTAGTAGTAACGGTAGCAGCAGCGATGGGCAGGCGAAGCCTGGTTAATAGGCCAACTTTGACCCGTTATGACGACCAGTACAACCTTTGGAAAAAACGTTTCTCATGTATTGTTAGCTCAGGTGGATATGCTTGTTCCTAGGACAGCATTTCGACATTTTAACACTTTTGAACCTGTATTTGATGAATTTTCGCAGAGGTTTTCGTGTTATCTTTGTACTATTTGTTTCCCTGTTCCTGCTTCATATGCCGCTACCGAGGAAGTATTGTAAAGGTGATAAATTTTGAAATAAGGTAAGTTGGGGTAAGATCGCACGAGATTTAGGCTAGTTAAATTTACATGGCCATACTATAATAAAATGATTTTAAAAATTTGTCATGATGTACAGGGTTTAACTTCAATATATAAGCAAAGAGTTTGCTGGGCGTAACTTAATATTTGTTAATAGGAAAGATTAGAAAAAAAATAGAAATAAAAAAAATACGTTCGAATTTGCTCCGCGTAAGGGGGTAAGGTCGGACTTGTAAAATTATGATATAATTCTTTGATGTACACCTACGGGGTAACGCCGAATTCTGAACAAGCCCCTGGTAAATTTCATACTATTTAAACCATAAATTTATATTTGTCTAATTTTGTATGGATCCGATCTTACCCCGTATATAAATTAAACTACTTATGAAACTAGAACAGAGTACCAAATCTTTATTTTTCGGAAAGACAAGCAAAATAAAAATATTAGGAAATATTTAATCTGCTAAATTCTACGGCAAATTGCAAATAATTTTCTTCATTCTGAACAGGATCCGGTAGGAACATAGATTATAGTGTCAATATCGGCAGTTTCAGACCAAACAGAGTTTTTCAATTTTTCATTGAATCTTAAAAACTTCACAACACATTCGCGCTGAACTTTGTCAATTTCTACGATTTTACTCGCATAATATTTTATGGTTTTCTTGCTGCAGTATTTAACTCATATCCAAGCGTTTTTTCTAAGTATTCCAATATTTCATCTGTCTGTTCCTCATCAGGAAATTTAAATCTTTATCAGACTCTTCATACATTAGTTCTAGGCTACTTTCCCTGCTAGTACTTTCTGATTTTCGACACTTTTGTTTCTTCGGCTTCCTATTGTTGCTTTCCCACAGCTGATCTGCATCTCTATGCGTGATGACATCTTTTTTTATAAATTTAGCATTTACGCAATTCTGCTCCACAGTGTCAAGTAGGAGGTCTTCAAATGAAACGTTTATAAGTCTAGATTGTTCTTCAGATGTTTGTCCGTTAGTCGTGTATTTAGATGAAGGAAAACTGAGCCCTGCTTCTAATATCTCTCTGCACCGTTACCTGTACCTGTACCTATTTCATTATTATCATTTGCTATGTAATTTACCCCTGTCCTGACTTTCATATTTTCAAACCTTTTTAAGGCTTCGGGATGGTATTTTTCTTTTGAAATAGCTGTCTGATTAAAGGGACATTTGCCACTTTTCTTGAACCCATTTTGTATTTGTCACCAGCAGCACTTAAAGCGTACAACATTGTTATGTTCTCTCTTCCGGGGCCACTGGTTACACGGGAACAAGCTGCACCTCTCGCAACTACTACTTTTGTTTTAGATGGGTCTATTGACAGACTCGTTTCACCTAAAATCCAGATCTGGTGTGGAAGATCATTCATTTTTCTTAAACTAACTTTGATAGGTTGAAATACTCGTTGACCACAAAAGGATCAGCCATTATTTTTTTTGAATACTCCACCGCTTGGGGCTTCTTAATTAAAAGCTTTTGTCGTTGTTCGAAATTAAGAAACCAGTCGACACCTGGCATATTATTTTTAAAAGAAGTCTTATCGCCAATTTCACCAACATTAATATTATGGACCAATGGGAAAATACCTTATCGAAATGCAATTTGACGAAAGCTGTCAAAGGTCTCTGAATATTAGTGATTTCTATTGAAATATTGGATAAAATCGTGAAAATTCGACTGTATTATAAACAAGACCACTTTTTGATTCCAACATGATGCTTTTGTACAGAAAAAACAGGACAACTTTTATATATTTTGATATATGTTATAGATTTACATTTAACAATCCGTTATCCCCTCAGCGAATGGGAATGCGGCAAATAATAGGTCGATTTTCTAGCTGTTAAATTTGGTAGCAGATGTGGACGTTTGTTAATGCATGGCACTCTCGAATTTACCAACTTCAATAT